TGAATTCAGCTCAATCCATCTTTTCTATAATGAAGAAACTATGGCCCAGATTAAGCTGTTGGCATGGTCAGAACTTGAGACTAGAATTTCTGTGTTCTTATCCTTTGGTCTCGAAGCGCCTTCTCTGTGTTCCATCATTTCCACTGGTGTCTGATCAACTATGGACTACATTCATCCCTACCCCTATTACTTTGTTCATGTGCTCTTCATCATACTATCCAAGAGCTTGCTTTCCATCAAAGTTACCATGATTTAACAAGGAAGAGCAATTCCATGAAACCATCTTTAATCACCCTAGTACACATCCATTTAACCTTTCTCTGAATGCCCACCGGTTACCGAGTACACCACAAATTTAGACATGTAATCACATAGAACTATGGATTATATTGCAATGATTGCATATATCTTCTTTTGTTAAGAGGGCTGTATAGGCCTCAAGGTAAAGAACTTTATTTATAGCATTTATATATGCCAGCACAGAACACTAAGACTCCTATAGGTACATAAGTGACAAAGTGATCATGTCATTTATCATTCATATTGACATATTTTGAACAGAATAAAAAATATTATTAAAACTATGAAATAAGGGTTATCTATCTTGGCTTTCATGCATCGAATGAGTGAACATCACATCGCTAGATTTTTGAAAGCCAAGATAGATAAACCTTCAGAAACAGTAATGGGAGTATTGATTCACTGAGGGTAGGGGAAGTGGGTGGGGAGAGCTGATGGCAATGATGACTATATAACCCCACTCCAGGGGAATGAATAAAAGAATTGTAGGTGAATGGATACATTGAATGATGTAAGATATGGCAAATACTAACAATAATACAATATAATAATAAGGGTTTCTGGTGGTAGGGTGGTAGAGGGAGGGGATACAGGGAAGCTGCTATCAAAGTATTTATGAAGAAAGAAAATGTTTTGAAATTGGTGGTGGCAGCAATTGTACAATTATGCTTGATGTAATTTAATCATGGACTGTTATAATATCTGTAAGAGCTCCCAATAAATTGATTAATAAAACAAACAAAAGCTCTATGTAATAAGTATAAAATTAGACTTTTCAATAGATTGTAATGAAGAGTCACCCAAATAAAATGGGGGTGCATTGTTTACATGGGAGGATTGTCTGTGAAAATGTGATTTACTCGCTCAATATGGGTCAGATTCTAATCTATTAGTGATGGTACAAAAGCTTACCTATGGGGTATTATTTACAATTAACCCTATTATATTGATTGGAATTATTTTGAAATAATAATGAATGAAATAAATGTCCTTGACACAATGGATTAATGTATGGATTGTGATGAGGGAAGTAAGAGCCCCCAATAAAAGTATTTAATAAAAAAAATAATTACTTAAATAATTATAACAGGCTATGAAATTTTATTAACTGATTACTTGTAAATATGTGCTATTTGTTGAGTTGTCACAGGTAGTTGCACAAATTATTCGTTGGTTGCTTTACTTTTTCAAGATACAAGGATAAATGTCATACAAATTTTTCTGATCTACTTTTAATTGCTTCAACATTGAAAATATGCTAGAGATGGAAAATATGCCATAGTTTCCAATTTCCTCGAGATAATGAAATTTTAAGTTGGATGACTTTAAATGTATGGTAGGTGAAGAGAGGCACTATTAGGAGTTATGGATAAAATGATCTCAAATTTGTAGTTTAAAAGTATTTTAAACACCCCATTCAGAAGGTATCAGACCATACATCACAATTTTTAATTTATATTGGGAGAACTGATGGAGGCGTTAGTAATGGAGACAAAGTAAAGTCCATAATAAAACCATATAACAATAACTGGCTAAAATTCCATCCCTTTTACCCACCATAGAACTACTTATATAAATTATTTTGAACATATGAACTTAATGAACTTTAACTTCACATTGACTTTTGCTAAGAAATAATCAAATAAACTTCTTTTGATATAATTTCCATGATCAAAATAATATGATTTTAGGCCTCAGAAATTTAACAAGACTCAGAGAACCCAGGAAGAACAATCTACACATTCAATTTATTATTGTTGTTGCTGAATTAGAGATTCAGAGATAGAAGCTGTCGACAGCAGAAAAAAATTCATCAACTTAAACAATGGTAGTTATACCATCTACTCCAGACAGGCATTTGCATATTGATAGTAACGCAGGACAAATAGGCAATAAAAATACATCTACCTGGCAAGCGGGTACATGCAACAAGGGAAGAAACATTTCTTGGATAAACTAATTTTTTGTTGAACAGCACATTCTATACTAAATAATACTTCATTCTACTACAGACAGATGGTAATCATATAGAATTCATATCCTTTCATCACAAAGCAGTCTTATGAGAGAATCTAAATAATCATGCTTTTTCATCCTCAATGCTCCAAAGGAAATTAAAGTACACCAGCAGGAAAAAATATATATAATTGCAAGAGAAATAAAATAGCATGTTGCCCTCAGGATAAATGACAAGAAAAGACATTATGTTGACAGATTCTCATCTACCCACATGGACCTCTAAGACAAGCCCCAAGACTAGATTATTTTAAGAAACTAAACATTTTAGATCTATTTAAAAGACTGCCTTTGCAAATCTTGTTATCAGCGGAATGTCTGTGTATGCAGCTGAGGGGTACAGGATGCTCAAATAGCATGAAATCAATAGAAGGGAAAATACCGATCATTATACCCTCTCATTCACAAGGTTCTGTGAGTCATGTGGACACTTTATCTTGCCATATTTGGGGGGAAGAAGATATATACATTTATTTCAGAATGAGTCAAATCTCTGGAACCTCAAGGCAAAGATTCTACTTTTTTCTACTCGCAGTTCTTTTCATACATGTACATGGCTTTAAAATTCCCTTTATTATAGGTTCAATAGTGTCAGTAAAAGTAATAGGTGAAAGAAGAGTAATTGAAATCAAATATACAAAAATATTATATTAAAAATTTTAATAGTTTATCCTTCCCAAAGTTCATCATTTTTTACTGGGCTTTGTATTACAATCAACAGAGATGTTTGTAGTTATGAATGTATGCTTTAATGATAGAGTTCATCTCAGATATCTAAAAGCAGTCAATACCAATAAAAATATACTATAATGAGATGTAAATTGTGTACATACAGTGCTGATCTAATTATTCGAAGTAATGTCACCAGGGGTTAAAACCAGGAACTCAATACCCCCTGACTTCAAAAAACCCAAACAAACAGACTCACTGTCATCAGGTCAATTCTGACTCATAGTGAGCCTACAGGACATGGTCGACCAGTCCGTCAGTTTCTGAGACTATACATTTGTACTGGAGCAGAAAGTTCCATCTTTCCTCCATGGAGTGACTTGTGGTTTCTAACTGTTGGCTTTATAACCAGTTTGATGAGGCCATTTTCCAGAGGCAAGTTTACAATTAACACAAACATTTTGAAATATTCTTTCAAAATGACCATTTTCATTTAATAACTTACCAAGGATTCAAGCTTCACAAACTTATCTCTTAATTTTAAAGGTGTTTTTAGCCTATACTTTATTTACCCTATGAAACAGTGTCTCATTTTATTTGGTGCTAAAACTATGGAATGTTTTAGAGTTTTCATCTAGTTCTGATCTTAAGAAATTAATGATTAACATGACTGGTAATTTACATTAATTTCTCCACAAATAGTCATTTATTAAACATCTTCTCTACATAAGGTTGGATGCTATTATCAATACTATGAGAAAACACAATGCCTGATTGCGAACAGTCTCCAAATTAACTAAGAATATACTACAGTAAATGGACAGTAAAAGAAAAAGGAAATTAACCATTGCTAAACTGAGTGATTGAGGGGGAAATTAGTGGGGCCTGGGATATTAAGAAATGATACCAGGGAGGAAAGTCGGGACCAGAAAAGAGTCTTCAAAGATTCATTTTAAGAGTGGATTGCAGAGGAAATGTTCTCAGCACTAGGTATATGTAGGGTGGTACATCCAGGGCAGCAAGAAGTTGTGAGAACCTAGGGTATTAGGAAGCTAGTAGAATGTGGGCCAAGTAAAATGCACAGGGCCAACACTTATAAGATCATTCTAATCACCCTTGCATCACACCTGAGGTAGTTAGTTTATTGTGCCAACCTGGCCGATAAACACATGTGGGATTAATTGAAGGGCGAAAAGATAAATGGCTCCATGAGCCTCGCCTTTTTTGTCTTTTGTTCTTTGATCATTGGATGAGTGTGCCACTGCCTTGCTTGTTCTGTGCCTCAATTTGCAAGCTACACTATCTGTGGGACTGTGTCACTGTAATTTGAGGTTCCTTCAAGACCTGCTTTGCCACACTATTGGAATATATATCTCTTGAGCTGGGAACTGTTGGACCCTGTCATCTGACTGACTGTTGGTGACCTGCCTTGCTTTTGCTGCCTGTGCCCGGATAGCCTGAATTGCTCTGCAGAGGACTACCCGGCAGCCCTCAAGACTTGAAGGACTGCCAGTGTCTTACAACTGTCTCACGGGAGTGAGTTGCACTAAGCCATTTGTACTGATTTATAATTTAATTAACTGTTTATTTCTTATGTTATATATCTACCTGTATAAATATATATAAAATTGTCAGCATTCTGATTTTGTTTCTCTAGAGAACCCTAACACAACACCAAAAGGAGAAATCATTTATGTCTTCTGTCCTACTAACACTCTAGTTGCCAGGAAACGTAAATGGTAAATTGTCATGTAATTCATATAATGGCCTTAGATAATTCTGATAGTATCAAACTTATTTTAAGGAATGAGATATTGCGTCTGAGACAGGTTAATAAAACTGTTAACCAGTAACGGAGGTACTAATAATAATGGTAGTAATAGAATAATGATAATATCATGTAACCTATTCTTATCCTGATAACTAGTTACCCTTAATCGAGCAGTAGCAGTTACTGAGTTGCTTGATTTGTCTCTCCGTTTTTCTTACCCAGCGTCACAGGATCCCTGCAGGACACATGTACCCACTTACATGCAAGAGAAGCCCACAGTGTGGCTCTCCCAGCTTTACGGTGGGATTTGTTTTTGCACTGCTCGATGCCCAATTGGTCAAAGGGGAGCCCAATGGGTCACTTGCCAGTGCTATGCCCACCAGAGCTGTGGTTGGGATCCCGTGGACTGTACTGAGTAACCAGCTTGGAAGACGCAGTGGATTGAAGACCTGAAACATTGTAAAATCCACTGTTGTTTTGTTTTGTTTCCACTCAACATGGATCAGCTTCAGGAAAGGAAAGTGCATGTATTAAATCAAGGATATCTGAGTTCAGAATCCTAGCTCTGTTACTTGTTACTTGGAAAATTCATTAAGCTCTTTGGGTCTTTGTTTCCTCATATGTTAAATAGATTCAATAACTATGTCATTGATGGTTGTAAGAGTTAGAATAACTTCCAGAGTCTAGTCCAGTACCTGGCACTAATTGATGTTCAATAGAAAATGATTATTTTCATAGGTAAACACCTCCTCCCCAGCCAATGGCAAGTCTCTCCTTTTCAAATGTCTACGTGTGAGGAACTTGGTTTTGTGTGTGAATTAACACTTGTGTCTGTTTTTCCAGTGAGAGGAGAGCTATTTCTAAACTGTTGGTTAACCAGCTCGACTCCAGATAATCCCTTGAATGAGAACACTGAGCATATCAAAGTATAAAAAAGACAGAAAATATGTGACTGATTACAGATTTTGATAGTTTGCATTTCCTTTAGAAGACTATGAAGTCATGGCCCCATCTAATTTTTTTTAAACTCTATTATTCCACAGTTTTAAAAAGCAATCACAGTTGTCCAAAGTAACTGTTTATGGAAGAAACCAAACACATATTGTATTGGGAAAACCTGCAAAAAAAAACCCAAAACAAAACCTCTTTAAAGTGTTGAGAAGTAAAGGCGTCACTTGGAGGAACAAGGTATGCCAGATGGAAGCCATGGTCTCTCTCATTGTCTCAAATGCATGTGGACAACGAATAAGGAAGAGACGAGAAGAACTGATGTCTTTAAATTGTGGTGATGGCAAACAATATTAAATATACTACAGACGACCAGAAGAATGAACAAATCTGTCCTGGAAGAAGTACTAGAATATTCTTAGAAGCATGGAAGAAGAGACTTGTCTTAGAGCATGCCATCCCGAGGAACCAGTAACTGGAGAAGGGCAACATGCTTGATAAAGGATAAGCTTAGTGAAAAAGAGGAAGACCTTCAAAAGGATGGACTGGCACAGTGGCTGTTAACAGGAGGCCCAAGCATAGCAACAATTGTGAGGACGGTGCAGGCTTAGCTAGTGTTTTCTTCGGTTGCACACAGTGTTGCTCAGAGTAGGAATCAACATGATGGCATCTCACAACAACCTAATACCACTAGCCTTCATCGTAAAGAACAATGTCAGTTTTAATATGTGTGCACATTAAAATACAGTATTATACTTTAGATACTTAAATACATTATATTTATGGAGTGCCTACCATGGGTTGTGGCCTGGACATGGTAGAAGAAAAATGAAAAGCTCCTGGACACTGAAAATATTATAACAGTAACTATGTTTGCAATCTATCCCAGTTTGTAAACTAGGTCCTGAAGGCTTTACCGTTGAAATTGATTTCATGGATTTCGCCTCTTATTGCTTAAAGAGCAGTTTGGCATGTTGTAGGCTTCTGTCTTTTTCCTCACTTTATGTTGATCTTATCTCACCAATAAGACTGTGAGCAATCAGAGAGGTCAGGCATATTGGCCAATGACTCCCATGATACTTAGCACAGTGCTGGTCCCATAATAGCTCTCCGTAACTACTTCATTTAATTAATATAATCCTCCAGTGCATATGATTAGGTTAATCATAGAGGCCCACTTGATTTTTATAATCTCTGTAGACATAAAGAAAAAAGGAAAAGGATGTAATAAAATGTATCACAATTCATAATTCTGGTTTCTTCAGTCACTCAGATGTTTACATCAAATCGTGTGCAGACGTGAATAACTTACAGTTATATAGAGAACTGCTTCTGTGTGACCGAGGAATTTTGATCTGTTCATTGTAAAAATACTAGGTTGTGCTGTTTTTAGGTTTAATGCAAATTTATAGGATTATCTATTAATTTGAAGGTTTAAAAATAACAATCTTGGATTCATATTCGCCCCACCCTCCAGTATAAATAAACTAAGGACTTTAAGTTCTCAGGAACAGAAGTTCTTAAAGTCTACTAAAGGCCGCGCTGCTGGATCTGTCTTCTGCCAACGGCTACGACCCAAATTGAACTGACCTTCCCCGAAGTCTTTCAAAAACCTCACTGCCCCTTTCTCTTCCTGCGATTCAGCGACTATTCCTTTGTAAAGTTGTAACTCTGCTGCAAAGGATTCCCGATCTGGGAACAGCAAGAGAGGAAGAAACAATTATTTTAGACGACAGAATCGAATTTCGCATTGTAATGACAACAAGGAAAGCTGGAAGCAGGCTGTGGTTTATAATCTAGGGTACCAAGAAAGCATATTCCCCACTTTCATTTATTTTGGTGCCTTTCTTGATAATCTGGAATAGAAATCAAACGGGATAAAAATCAAGAAGTGATGCACATTCTAATTTTGCAAAAAGGTTATTTAAGTAGAGAAATGAATCCATTTTCAAAGCTGTGATACGGAAAAACTGACCAGGCTAAGGTCTCAAACACATGAACAGTGCCCTATCATGACAAGACTCTGTAGCCACCTGGTGGTAGGGGAAGTTAGTTGCAGGTGTAAGTGGCGAGAACACGATCAAAATGTCAAATCTCTGTCAAAGTTAGACATCCAGTCTCACATTGTAAATACTTACAGGAATATCTCTACATTACTCTCAACATATCTATCCAATCTTGTCTCTTATTATTGAACATAACTATAATTTGGCTGCCACATTGTCATACTATGGTGGCTTGGGTCATTGCTATGATGATGGATGCTATGCCCCTGGTCCTTCAAATACCAGTGGGGTCACCAATGGTGGACAGATTTCAGCAAAACTTCCAGACTTGGAATAAAGGCTAGGCAGTCCATGTATGAGAGGTAAGTCATTGAAAATAGTTTTAGCGATTGTTCCAGAATAGGAGCCCCTCCAGCTGGAAGACATTCAGAATATGACGGGGAAAATGTTGCCTCCTCAAAGTAGAGTTAACTTTCACAATAGAGATGGCATAAGGCTGGAGGGGCAGGACTTAAAACGAGAACAAAACAGTTCTTAAAAGCCATTTTGTAATCAGAATGTGGAATACTGCAAAGCATGCCTCCTAGACAACTGGAAGTCATCAGAAATGAAATGGAATGAAACAAGATGGCTATCCTAGGCATTAGTGAGCTGAAATGGATGGTCCTGGCCATTTTGAAAAAGATGACCCTATGGTTTCACCATGCCTGCAATGACAAGGACAACTAGAGTTATATTCATCATCCAAAATAGAACATTCTGAGATCTATCCTGAAGGACAATGTTCTCTGTGACAGGATCATATCTATACACCACAAGGAAGTGGAGTTCATGCAACTATTTTCAAATTGAAGGGAAGCAAGGTTGCTGGACTTGATGGGACACCAACTTAAAGGTTGTGCTGCTGGGAGGACTCACTCCTCTGTGCCAGGAAATTCGGAAGAAATCCCTTATTTGAGCTCATTCCAAACAATGATGACCCAACAGAATGAGTAAATAATCGAACCATATCATGAATAGTACATGCCAGTTACAATTTGTTGAGGATAATGACCTGCCTATAACCCCCTCCCAGGAGGGTGGACAACAGACAAGGGGGTCAAAGGAGACATCAGACAGTGCAAGGCATGACAAAATAATCATAATTTATAAATTATCAAGGGTTTATGAGGGACAGAGGGAGAGGGAGTAGAAAAAATGAGGAGCTGCTACCAAGGGCTCAAGTAGAAAGAAAATGCTTTGAAAATGATAATGGCAACACATGTACAGATGTGTTTGACACAATGGATGGATGGATTATGGTAAGAGTTGTATGAGCCCTCAATAAAATGATTTATTAAAAAAAATTTAAAGGTTGCAATAGTAGACCGCCAGACAGTCGCCAGAAGAGGATGGGAACGAGAGGTCGCTGGTGAGTCCAGCTGGATCTCGGCTGTAAAGAATATGCAAAAGGATGAGACTGTGCGGACCATTAAAAGAAACTATGGATAACATCGTGAAGAATGAAAATTCTAGGACACTTTTTTGTGCTCATGTGGAACCTGTGCATCAGGGTTGTAGCCTTTCACTATACTTATTAGATCTGTATGCTGATCAAATAATCTGAGAAGCTAGACTACATGGAGGGAAAGACGGCAATAGGATTGGAGACAGCCTCTATGATAGGCAGATGATACAACCTTGCTTGCTGAAAGCAAGGAGGATATGAGGAACTTGCTGATGAAGAGCTAAGACTGCAGGGTTACATATAGATTGTAACTTAATGGACAGAAAAAAAAACATTCTCCCAACTGTGCAAATAATATCATGATAAATGGAGAAAAGATCTAATTTTTTCAACAGTATGATAAATGGAGAAAAATGTTCATTTTACTTGGTTTCACAGTTAAGGCTCATGGAAGAAGCTGTTAAGGAGGGAATGGTATCAGAGATTAAATTGTGAACACCCAGTTTGCAGAAGCTGGGGATGACAGTGGAAGCCCCAAATCCATTTGCACGCTCCACACATGGATTACACCTCTGGTCAGAGGGGTCTGATCATAGCTGAATGATGGGAATAGCCTTGTGCTCAGATAAAGAACATTGTAAATTCAATTACGGCAAATGTAGTTAGGTGAAAACCTCATCATGTGGTCTCCCATTTGACACATTTATAAAATGTTTTATCTTGGGGGGAAAAAGGAAGGGGAAATACACATAGATTAAGCTTCCAATGAGTTCCTTCTGACCATAGACTAGAGATGTGAATAGCCTGGCTTCCATGAAGAATGCATTGAAAAGTGGATTATTACAGAGGCAGTTAGGTTAAAAATGAACAACTTACCATTTGATTTCCCTTTTGACCCACTTTAAACGTGTCTTGTTTTTAGTATTTTAGTATTTTCTTTTCAGTTGAGCTTTTCTCTGTTTTACTTTGGTG